ACACACACACACAAAACAAAGCCCCCTTACCCAGGTAACTAGTGAAAAATGGAATTTAATAAGAAGATAGGATAGACTGTGGTGATCAGATGCCTGACAGCCATATGATGCCTGCAGCTGGTGTATGTGACTGGCCCCTTATCTCTCTACTTTCTCACTCAATACTCCCTTTCCACACATACAGTTACTCCCCTAAACAGCCCACAGTAAATTCTGCAGATTATCTCCCCTATATCCCATAATAAATACCATGCTCCTGTTGGCAATAATCTCCTTCAATCTGAAAGGTGTCCCAGAGAGCACTTCCATTGATTTAACTTAATGGGTTCATTCCCACCCCACAGACTGATCACACTCCTGTGATAGCTCTGGGAGAAGCTGGGTCAGGACACTTATTTGTCTGTTAGGTCACTGAGGTTCCCCCACCTTTCCCTATTCCTCTGTGCTCCTTTGAGCATGGGGAGAGGACCCTTTTATCAGGAACCTTTTATCACTCATATAAACAAATATATTTAGGTATGGGGTCTATCATCTGGAGACAAAATACAGTGAAACCTTTTGGAAGCCTTAAATACAATAGAACTTCTTCCAAAACTAAACAGAAATTGTGGTGAAGTAAAAAACATATGAATAGCTAATGATATATAAAACTGTACCAAGTATTCTGTTTTTCACAAATGAGTTGATGAAACAAGTAAAAAACCAAACAAAAATAGTCAAAAAAATCATACTTGTTCGTAACTATCCAACACAAAGGTTGCTATTGTTTTTTAAAAGAAAATGTCTTAAAGTAGATATGACTTAACATGAAAAAACAAGCTACAGTTATAGAATATGCCTCCTAATATAAGATAATATATACAAAGCCAATCTATATGAGAGAAATTAGTTCAAATTTTTTCTTGTATAAAGCCATAATGTCAATCCTGCAATGAATGATCCGGTGTTACTTCTGCAATGCTACTTCTCAAAAGCAATTAATTTTAGAAAAGCTATTTGGAATCAATGGGATGTGTGTTTAGTTAGTTCCACAAAGTATAATATAATTTAACTGCTTGCTATGTCAGAGCAAAATGCTGACACTATCAGAATATCAAAGTTGTCTTCTGCAAGGAGGAATTCTCACACTCCACCCAGGAGTTATGTACCATCTGTGAAAGAGAGAAATGACAGCCAAATGGCGTAGGATATGGAAATACACAGCTTTTTGCAAGGTAACACAGTTTTTAAGCTTTATGAATGATTGTGTATTTTTCTCTTCCCCGGCCCCTTTCTTTTGTTAAAGCTCTAAGGAAACTGCTGGGATTAGCATGTTGCACTACTACTGATGTCAGAAAATGCAGACATCAGGAAATTAAAATAAAAAATTCCAGCTTTGCATATGAAATCAAGTTAAATTACTATTTACAACTTTCCTAGAGATACAATATAATATCTACTCTTCCACAGCTTAAGAAGTTCATTCTCCAAACACCCACTATTAAGGCAGGAACTTGGGTCCAACTGCCACTGCCATCAAACCAGCCACTTTCCACACAGCACAGCATTACTTTCTTATTCTTATTACATTGCTTATCTACGTTCTCCTGTTTGCTTTTTTTCATAGACATTAAAAAGGGAGCTTATGTCTCCCAAAGCTTTACCAAGGCATACACTGAAAGTCCTGGAAACCCTGCATTACAAGAATGCCATTCCTTTTCTTTGAAGCTTTAATTAGCTTTGAATATAAACAGTGTTAGTTGCAGCATGAATAGTCTCTCCTGTCCTACTGGCCTCCAAGCAGCAGATCGGGAACAGATTCAACGCAGGGCATGGTACAAACCTGGGAACAGGGATGTCTCTAGCACAGGAATCTATTATGGAAGAAAATGAATCAAATGGAGCTGCTGAGACTGACCAAAAGGATAAACTCCTGCCTGTTCCCCCTTTACAAACAGGCTGCACATCCAGCCCCGTCTCATTCACGTTCTGCATGTCTGCAACAGGATATTCCTCTGCCCTGGGCTTTCCAAGTATGTGGCAAAGTTTTTGGCATGCAGGAGAGCGTCAGGAAAGAACTGTGAAGAAAATGTTTGCTAGGACTTCAATAACTCATGTGAATCACATGCAATCAAACTAAAAAGTTAATTTAATTTTACTTTTTTTTCCCCCTGAAGTAAAATGACACTAATTTAAACTTTTCTTTGTATATACTAAACTGCATATAATAAACCAAAAGACAGTGGTATTTTTCACTCTGAAGATTCCCTCTGAGGAAGGTATATTTTCCTCCACTTCAAAGGCAAGCCAATTTGAGCAATCAATACATTATTTTCAACAGTCAAAGAAAACAACCAGTTAGTAGAAAAAAATAGGGGGCAAATGAAATAAGAATGTCTGACCTCACTACCTTTTTTCTTCCATATTCTCTTTTGCCAAGGAGACACTCCTAATGCAAAGAGGTTTTACCAAAGCAGAATAATTATTTTCTCTATATCTTGAATTTCTGGAAGATACTTAGAAAGATTGTCCAGCTATTCTGCAAGCTAAAAAAAAACCCCATATATAAATGTTTTCTGTTTGCAAAGCAGTCTTCCCTCAAGTTTCCATTCAGGCTTTTTTTTTTTGGTGTAAAAATAACGTCTGGAAAACTTTGAACAGACATGCTCATTCCTGGTGAAATCAGTGTGTCCAAATACAAGAGCTGTATTAAATAAATTCAGCCTAATGTCTCCTTTTTATGCATTAAAACCAATACCAACAAAATCATTTCAATTGCTTACAAGAACTTCTTTACTTCTGAGTCATGAGGGCATTTTAAAGTCCCATTAGGTCCTGTAAAAGCATGCTGCCTTCTTTCTATCTGAGAGGCATTCTGCCTAAGAAGTATTTGTTCTCTTCATAATGCATATAAAGATAGTCTGAATCTTTTGACTACTCCCCTTCCCCTCTCTACAGCTTCTCCCTCTTTTCTTAATGATTAAGTTTTAGAAAATTTCAAAGTTTGAACAACATTTAGTTTTGAGACAAAATGTGATGTACATTCAGACTTTAAATCTAACTCAAATGCCTGAGAAACACTAGGAAGAATTGATTGACTGATTTTCCTACTCAGTCAATTCTCTTTAGTTGGAGGTGAAATGTATTTTAAACCATCTAAAACTTCTAAGAAGCTCTACAACAACTAAAGACCACACTGGATATTCCCTATATTTTTCAACTTAAATCTGAAACCTGAATTTCAAGTTTCTGCTATATATAATAATGAGTCAACAAAAAAGCCATGGGCCTTTTTTCTTCCTTATGGACAGCTCTGCACTAAAGCAAAGCTTTCTACATAGTTATCATCAGACTTTCCTCCCCTACCATATAATTTTTATTTGACTTTTGACCACAAGAAAAACACTTGCCTCTGAGATGCAAATCAGCTTTAAAGTGCAAACTTAGGACCATGCAGTACAGTCACAATGAAGATGCTGACTCCCCTAACCCTGAATTGAGAGCTGAAGTTCGGCTCATGGACACCTTTACTGCTTCCTCTCCACAGGCAGAATTTTACTGCCCTGTTTTAATCCAGGCAGGTCAACTATGTGATCTGTGAAGCTGTATCACACAGTACTTTCTAAACTCTTTTTATCTCTACAAACTTTCAGGACTGAGCAGTGAATTTTAAAATTGTTCATTTGTACAGGCATCACTCAGTTATTTCATATTTGCAGAGAGAATTTACATTTCCCCCCTTTTTCTATCTCAGTTTCTCTACCAGTTACACAAGGAATTACACAGTTATTTTAAATACAATTTTTAAAATCAGTAACTCACCGAATTTCAGACATTTAACAATTTGTATTATAATCTTACATCAATTATTTAGTCTCTGAACTTCCCACACACACTGTATTCCCCTCCTATTAAAAGAAGTGATGCTTTAACAAGCTTTCCTCTTTTCATTAGATCTCACACTATTCTCCTTTCCCTTCCCTTCCCTTCCCTTCCCTTCCCTTCCCTTCCCTTCCCTTACCATTTGTTGCAGGCCCTTCATGCAAA